TAAGCATTTTGATAAGGATGATAAAATAATTATTATAATGGTAATAGTAATGATAATGCTCAGATGATGATGATGTTGACGATGATGATGGTAATATTTTTTCTTTTATCATGATACCAAGAGCAATGGTGAAATTGAAACTAAAAGCAGTGAACAGTATTGATGGTGATGATGATAGTAGTAATAATAATAGGTAAATGATAATTATAAGTATAATGAATAGGCAAACGATATTAGTGATAATCAGAAAATGACAATGAGGGTGGTGATAAAAACAACAGCGACAAAATGATGATAATAGTAATAATAACAATAATAATAATGACAATAACAATAATAATAATCATGAGAACAATAATGATAATGCTAATGACAATAATGATGATGACAATAATACCTAGAAGCTATCAGAGAGCCCATACCTTCACCTAGGCAATAGGGTCACTGATGTAATATGAATATTCACACGCAGAATTACACTAGAATCACTTTTCTCAAGTACACAGGTGACATTCGTAAACATAACCTCCTTCGCGTAGGCAAGGTAATAGGGGTAGCTAGTACAATCATTTAAAAAATCCCTGGATCCAGATCACGATCCGGATCACCACCAAAATTTAATAGCATCTAAGTTAGGCCAAGCCACACCTCTGATAAAATTTTTGAGTTGCATTTGCAATAGGGGTACCTCATGTAATCATTTAAAGATTCCTGGATCCGGATCAGGAATATGAGTTGGGCTGAGACACACCTCAAGTATTATTTTCATAAAAATCTATTCATAACTGTTTGAGTTATCCTGCTAACCACCGAACATACGAAGATTGGAACAAACTAACTAGCTAACCAACGTTACAAAAAGCATAACTTTCTTGACAAGAAAAATAATCACTAAAAAGGATATTACTTCCTTGGCGGAAATAATAAGAATGATGATAATGATAATGATGATAGTAATAAGGATCCATAAATAATAATGATGATAGAAAATAATAATAGTGATAACGGTAATGATAAAGATAATAATTTTGATAACAAGGATATCGTTGATAATGAAAATAATAACAAATGTATTAATAATGATAGAAACTATGCATTAAATGGTGATAAAGATTATAATAATGATAGCAGTTTTAATAATGACAACTATTTTCATAAAGCAGCAACTCCAACAACGATAATGATAATAAGAATATTTATGATGATAAAAAAAATAGTAATAAAAGCAATGATAGCAATGATAAAAGTGATGTAATTATTATAAAAGATATTCAAATCAGTAATAATGATAATGAAAAAATGATATAAGAGGATAATATTAGTAATAAAAATTATGATGATAATCATGATAATGTAATAATGTTACAATAAGGATAAATTATTATCACAATAATGCCAATAATAAGAACAAATAGCAATCTTGAAAAGACAATAATAATGATAATAGAAATATCGTAATCAAAATAATGATAATGATAACAATATTGATGGTAGTTTTTTCATCCATTTTGACAAAATCATAATCATTTTTGCTACCACCCTTAATATCTTTATTGTCATTATTTACCCTTTTGAACAATATCATCGTTATTATCATTATCGTCATCATTATTATCATTATTGTTATTATTATTATCATCATTATTATCATTATTGTTATTGTTATCATCATTATTATTGTTGTTATTATTATCATTATTGTTACTGCGTATAATTATTGTTCATTATTATTATCATTGCCATTATTATCATAATTATGTTATCTTTTTGATTGCCGTTATCATCTTCATTCTCATCATGAATATTGTAGCGGGGCGTAGACCCAGTAGATTTTAAGTGGTCTGGTTGAGTCCGGGCTCAACCGAGAATATGGTTTTTGCTCAAGGGAAAAATTCGTCTGCAGTGAACAGATGTAAGGTTCCAGGCCTACGGCACGCTGCCACCACCCGATTAGTAGGTTCGGGAACCGTGTGTGTCGTGTAAAGTGGGTGTGGGTGTTGTATCAGAGAAGGGTAGAAGGAAAGTACAGAATGTGTGTGCTGAATGTTGGATGTGTAAGTGTGTAGATGTGAAAAGGGAGATAGCGTAGGCTGAGCGTCTGCGTGGACGTGTTTGGAAGAAAAAAGCAAGATCATAGAATTATTCTTCTTCCCTTCGGTTTGAGCATCCGCCTGCTGGGAGCGGGAACACAGGTATAGCAAAATGAATTTGTTCTCTTGATATCAGCTTAATATTCTCTGATTTGACTAGCCTTTTTACAGCCTTTCAAAGGTTGCGAGATATCAGAGCAACCAGCAATGTGCTGTTTAGGAGACCCGAGTCCGAGAAAGATTTAGGCATCTAACCTTGATCAGAACCAGAACTTCAGTGGTTGCAAGATTAATTTATATTCTGACTGGAGTTGAGTAAAAGCTCTGCGTTGGTACGATGTTTATTTAGGGAGTAAATTACACTCACTAGGGAGTTACAGGCATTTTTCAGTCATGGGAAAGTAGAACAA